TTATTATTATTATTATTATTATTATTATTATTATTATTATTATTATTCCCAATTGATAGGCTTGGCTTGGCTCGGCTTCATATAATCTCATTAACTGACTCAAGTTCAATCCCTGGTTCTTTACAGAAACTGAAGGCATGTCCTTATTCTTGGCTCAATTAACCCTCTACCAAAATGCTACCAGGTTTGGGTCCACATTCATTCCTCAATTTAAATTTGCCCATGCTCTCTCTCCCTGCATATGCCCATGGGAAAAATGGTTTTATGCAGACACAATGCAGGCAGGCTGTTTCTGATACCTAAAAATTCTCTCCCTGAACGTTAAATTTTCATTCAAGGAAAAAGGGAGGCTCTTTAAGAGACTCTTGACATGGAAGTATCCCTCTGTCTCTCTCTGGTTTTTTAATCTTATATTAAAGAACCATTTTTGTCTCAAACCTCTCACTAAGGCTCTCACTCTCAGAAATGTGGATAGCATCCAAAAGACTATTCTCCATCAGCAGTTGGCGTGTTACATATCATCACTGAGAAAGAAGAATTTGTGAAAACAATGAGGGGTATAATAAACAAGAGTGAGAAAATTGAGCAGCTCTAAATATGTGATTTATACCAATAGAAGATAATATTTGCAGCTTAGGTTTGGATTGTGGAGACCCTTGGTGCTCTCTGAGCTTGGTGGTTTTCTTGCAGACATTTCATGACCAAACTAGGTAACATCATCAGTGCACTGATATCAGTGCATGAAATGTCTGCCAGAAAGCCACCAGACTCAGAGAGCACCAAGGAATCCCCTGTAGGTGGTTTGTGTTGGTCTAAAATAGACTCCTTTAGAGGACAATTAGGTAGTGAAAAAATTAACCCTCGTTCTTGGCTTCTCTGTAATGTCTGACAAATCTTGAAGTGGGATTATTTTAATAATTCCAGAAATCACATCCCCTATGGATTTTTGTGCTCTTTGGTTATAGGTTGGGCCACATTCCTTTCTCCTTAAAGAAAAGCTACCTTCTGTGTGGTTGGAAGTGAATAATCATAGCAAATCACAGGGAGGCTGTATTGTTACCTATTCATTTGATTCATTATCAGACAGGGAACCAACGTGTTGGGTTATTCGGAGGTCTGAGCTTTAGAACCTTCCAGGAGATACTCACCCATCTCAAAGTTATGACTGAAGTCCTGAATGCCCAAAGTGAGTAGTCTTCTTAATCCCACTAGATACTATGCAACATGAAAACAGAAGGGATTTTTGATCCAATCCACATGGTATATCTGCCTCAAGTATAAGCTCCCACCTTGCCTCTTTTGAGGAGGATGAGGAAGAGGGTGATGATGAGACAGGGGTGAGATGGATCACTCCAAACCAGTGTATGTTTTCCAGAGGATCTCCAGGTAAGGTCTACTCCCAACCCTGTAACCAGGTGCCAGGGATTGAAGTGCCTGCACCTTGTCCTTGCAAAGTTGTCCCCAAAGGTGTCCCCTCTCCACCTGCTTTGGTCCTTCTTGGTGACATAATTTCTATAAGAAATGGCTATCATTTACAATATGCAGTTCAGTTCATGATAAGACATGGTGGCGGAGCACAGCGAAATCAAAAGAAGGCATAGTTTTCAATCCCATTTAAAACAGGGGAAAAAATTCCGATATGAAGCAACACCGGGCCTCATCCTTTGCAATGACTTCCTTTGCTACCTGGAATTGCTATTCATGGTGCACATGGCCAACAGATTGCCTGAGTGAAAAGACTCGGGATCCAGCAGTATATTCACTATTGAATTACAATCAAAGATTGAGCTTTTGTCTTACCTTTAATCACCTGGGATTCATAAGAAACTACCCCCCTCCCTGCCTTAGGAAGTGGTGGATGGACCCTTGATCTCTTTATAGGCGAGGGCAAATAATGAATGCCATAGAAAACCCACTTAATACCGTGGTTACCGTAAGCAGCCTCTGGTTGATTGAACCAACAGAATTGGACCCATTGAGGAGTATTACAGGAACAAAATGGAACAGATATTGCTGCATTTGGGTTAGTCCAATGACAGTTTCTATTGCTGGTTATTTTGAATTGGACCCCAAAAGGTTTCATTACTTTTCACATTGCTGGAAGGCTATTCTCTTGGCTAACAACTAAATTGGGTAAAGGAGGGTCATTTTTTCTTTTTTTAAAAAAAATAGATTTAAAGAGTGTAATGCAAAATTCTGCAAAGTTGCCTAAGCTGATTGAGCAATCATAAGAACAGGAACATGATCTGATCTGAGCAAAACCCATCTTAATTAACATACGACTTCTAGCAGCTAATGATGTGCTTGATTGGAGGGAAGATGGTCATCCTTCCCTCCTGCCTCTTGTTTCCCTCCAACTGGTTTAAGGGCCATACTGGCCCTAGTCTGGAGGTAACACTGAGTTTACATGGCCAAAGGACACTTGATAGAGCTGTCCTCCATGCATTTAACCAATACTCCTTTAAATTATCCAAATCACCAACCATCACAATGTCCCAAAATAGATCCTTGAGGAATTCCGCTTCTCCACTGAGAAAAATTGCCCACTTTTCTTACTCTTTGCTTTGTGTTTATTTTATCAACAGTCTATACAGGAACACATCCTCTCATCTCATAGTCTTTGATGAAAAAAATGCCTCTTAACAGAGTTGGAAGGGACCAAGTTGGAGGTCTTCCAGTCCAAGCCTCTGGTCAAGCAGGAGGCCCAAGGCCATTTCAGAGAAATGGTTGTTTAGTCTTTTCTTTAAAATTCCAATGTTGGAACACCCGCAATTTCTGGAGGCAAGTTGTTATAACTGTCAGGAAATTTTTCCTTAATTTCAGGTTGCTTCTCTCCTTGATTAGTTTCCATCCGTTGCTTCTTGTCTTGCCCTCTGGTGCTTTGGAAAATAGGATGAACCTTCTTCTTTGGGGCAGCTCCTCAAATATGGGAACACTGTTATCACCCCTAGTCCTTCTTTTCATTAAACTAGACCTACCCAATCCCAGCCGTTGTTCTTTATATGTTTTAGCTTCTAGTCCCCTAATAACCTTTGTTGCTGCTCTTCCCTACGCTCTTTCCATAGTCTCAACATCTTTTTTGCACCATGGCAACCAAAATGCAGTATTCCAAGTATGGTCTTACCAAGGCCTTATAAAGTGGTATTAACACTTCCACTTGGCGTAGATTCTGTAAGATTGAAGAGGGAGGATTTATCTTTATGGAAGACATGGTGATTTCCTTCAGCAGAGCTTCTGTGTTTAGAGTAGTTTTTTTAAAAAAATGTGATCAGAATTTCACCAATTTATCTGGAACAGACATTTGATCCGTCTATATTTTCTTGGGTCTATATTTCTCTTGGGTCTAAAATGTGCATCTAGTTTGAAGGGCTTTTTTAAAACTTTTGCTAAGTCATCAGACTTTATCTTTGAATTCTTTCAGGATTGTCAGTTGGACGCCATCAGCTTGGCAATGTGTTGCTGGGTAGTTTCTAAAGACATCTGGAAGGTCTCATTACCACAGTTTGCTTGCATACTTCTGATTGTCTCCTCGAAAACAGCATTAGCAATAGCACTTAGACTGATATACCACTTCACGGTGCTTTACAGCCCTCTCTAAGCAGTTTACAGAGTCGGCATAATCCCTTCAACAATCTGGGTCCTCAGTTTAATGACCTCAGAAAGATGGAAGGCTGAGTCAGTCTTGAGCCAGTGAGAACCGAGCTGCTGAACTGCTGGCAATCGGCAGTCAGCAGAATTAGCCTGCAGTACTTTACTGCATTCTAACCACTGTGCCACCATGGCAACAGA